ACGTCCAGAGCACCTCTCCTTCTTTCAATCCGAAAGCCAAGAACTTGTCAACCACAGACTAGTCTTATCGGACACATTTTCATGTCCACTAGCTACCGCGTAGCCACCTTCCTAGCCGACTTGTGCCAAGTCACCTCACTGAGACAGTGAGCAGTCGTCCGTTTCTCTCTTTTTAACTGTGTCCACTAGAGTTGTCTTTGATCCAGATGGCCCCGTTTCCCCATCGCCTGAGTCGGGTTCCGCGGCCGCTTCATCACCCAGCATCCTGGTCGACCGCCGTCCCGTCGCAGCCACCCGGCCTGGCTACCACCCCAATCTCGACGCCGATTCATCCGTTTCAATCCCGAAATTCCTTCGCGGATATCTCACTTTATTTGACTTCAAGCCGGCCCCATTGCCATCATCTTCGGGTCCTACCTCATCTCCCGAGCCCGCCACTCCTCGCCATTCAGAATGCTCAGCCGCTCTCGTGCTTAATGTTCCTCTGCCGTCGCTGCCACTATCCTTATTACTTTTCAAAATCCGGCCGGTCCACCATGGGGCCGCACCACTCTGTGATCAGCTACTCAAGCTGCATGTCTGTGGCTTTTTGAGGGGAATAAGCTACAAGTTGCCGCTCTCGTCGCATTAGAAAAAGAACTCTAGCTTGATTTGATGCGCCTGCATGAAACTTCCCGTTTTGAGCTGCCAGGTTCATCTCATCTTCCCAGCGGCTCGGGTTGCAGAACCCCGCATCGATGCCATCCCACGTCTATTGATACGTCTCTCAGCTTCTTCTGAGGTTGTCCCTTTTTCCCGCCATTGTAGAATGTTTCAAGCCACCAGGGAGCTTGTGTGTAAAAACACAGCACGTTGGCCAATCTTATTACGCTTAAAGCCAGCAAGCGCTTTTAGTTTTGGTTACAGCACCATCTGGCCATCCGTGTTATATTGTCGCTTTCGTTGTCATCACTTAGACCCCATCGCTTGGGACGTTACGATTTCGATAGAATGTCGTCCGGGCCATCGTGGACAATTGCTACAGAAGGTGTTTTCTACCTGCGCGCCAGACGCTCCTCATTGATCCCCGATGAGATGACATGGTAGAAGCTGTACATCCGTTGAAACACATGGTACGGGAACCTTGACACGAGTGCAAGTGCAAAACTACGTGAAGCCGCTGTCAACACCGCTTGAAATGGGGTCTTCCAAGGTCCAAGGCATTATTTTCACCAGAGATGGTTTTTTTACATGATCCTGGTCTGCCCCGTCACCCGACAAATGACATTTTGGTAACTGACCATTAGGGATACATGTGTTGAAAATATTGAAAATATTCATCGGGTTGTGGTTATTCTTCTCCCCGGAGTTCCTTGCTAAGAGGCGCCTGTCGCGTCCAAATGTTCATGCCAACCTTCTGCCCACTGGTCACAGGCAGCCCGGCGTGCAGATTTCGCTGGTCTCCGGTGCCATCCCACAACAGATTCTCCCAGTACACAAAATTGCCTTCCACCGGACGGAACGTCACCCCATTCTCCCAAGGCTCGTCGCAGTCGATAAATTCGCACCACCGTTCGTCGTGAGGGGCATCTAACATGGGGAAGTTGGTTCCCCCGCCCGTCACGTTGACAACAGAGACATATCCAAAGAAGGACGATACCCGATTCCCGCCTTGAGATGCCGTGGTGTGCTTGGGATCTGTGAACCAGTCGGTGTGAAAATGATAGCGCTGTCCCTGCCCATACTTGACTAGTTGCAGAGGTTCAATGTGACTCTTGGGCATGCTGTAGCCTTGGAACGCGATGGCACGGTCCTCGATGCAGCGAACGACATCATCTCGCCATAGAGCTGTGCTCTGCGAGGTGCGGACTTGATGGGTTGTCTTTCCGCCGGCTGCGTCGATGACGCCGGAGTGGGTGAAGGTCTCGCTTCTATGGGCTGTCAGCGGAGCGGCAGGCGAGCATGGGAAACGATAATCTCGAATCACTCACCCAAGCTCCAGAAGATGTTTTCGTTCGGCTGGTGTAACGAAGTCTGGGATGTAAATGACCAGTGGCGATTTCGAGACTATGTGCATCTTGTATGGCGGGTGAGTGCATTGATAGTTGGTCATTGGCTTCTGATCTTGTCCGACAGTTGGGGTTGCCAGAGCTGCCACGAGGGCCAACGTTTTTGCTGCCGCGAGGAACCCCATTTCGCTCACTTTGACGTATCAGGATATGGAAAGTGGTGTTCGGGAGTGGGAGTCTCACGATATCCCTTTTATCAATCAGTTAAGCCAGCAGCTATTAAAGTCGGATGACGGATCCGATGGAGGAGCTGATGAAACTCAATGTGTTTTGGGGCTGGCGTTCACAGGCTGGTGGCTTAACTCTCTGAGCAAGCCGGAGGCTAGTTCAGGGGCTTCCTTGTCTGATCTTCGTGGCTCAGGGGGTGAAAACGGCGCGATTATGGGGCGTCGGCCCCCAAAGCACTGGGGTAACCCCCCGGAACACGTTGGAACCTAAAGCTACCCTCAGCTCTTTTTCAACGTCGTCTGGTGTTCATTCTCTTCTCAGTCATTGAATAGGTGACACGACATTGAAATCTTTTATGATGTTTTTGAACACAGTCGGTTTGGTGCTAGGCGCTGCACAACTCGTGCATTGTTGGAAATTCGCAGCCGCGGACGAGTTTCGCAGTGCCTTAACGAGGAACGAAGACACACTGGTTGCTTGTGAGTACATCATCCCCGATCCGGCTCCAAACATGAGTTCTGACCTGTTCCAGTCGTTGCGGTGAGCTCTTCTCTTGGATTTGATAACTACTACAGAAAACCGTTTTCTGATCCACATTAGCCTTCGAAGTATGGCCTGCAACTATCAGGAAGACGACGCCGAACACGCTTGTACTGATTCGTATTGCAGCGCTGCAAGCGACAGCCTCGAACCCCAATGGGCCGAGGTCCATCAAGAACACCCCAACGCCATCGCAGTCGACTGCCTCCACGACCGTTCTCTCTGCGACGAGACTGATCTAGCGTCTTTCCCGGCTATCAGACTGTATCTTAAAGATGGCAGCATGCAAAGATACCGCGGGCCCCGCAGATCTAAAGAGTATTTGTCCCATTTTAAAATCCGAGGGACTCATGGCTAAAGGATACCGACAGTATCACGGCTTTTGTGAAGAGATTGTCGCGTCCAGCAATCACACATGTCACGCAAAATGCAGCAAGTGACTTCTCAAAGAGCGACAATGTTGTTCTCATCGCCAGACTGGCGAGTAACGACGACAGTCTGCGAGTGAGATTCGACAATTTAGCAAAGCATTACCATGACCGTTATTCCTTTGGTATAGTGCAAGGTTCAGATGCATCGTCTAGCGTTAGCTGCCATAACAACCTCGACAGCCTCCAGTTCAACGCAAACGACCTTTCGGCAGTTGATGCGTTACAGTCGCTCATCCATCAGTGCTCCACGCCTCTTGTGGCACAGCTCACGCGGGGTAACGAGATGGAACACTTGAGTGTAAGTTTTCACAGTCGAGACGTGTATGTCAGTGGGCTCTTACTGCTACCAGGCTGGCAAATCGCTTGTATACTTCTTCGCCTCTGACCACAAGCGACGGGAAGAGTATTCCAGCGACATCAAACAGCTCGCAAGAAACGTTCAGGAGTACCTCAATTTTGTGACTGTGGACTCTAGCGAGTATCCCGACATGCTAGTAGGGTTAGGACTTCCAAGAGACGTATCTGAAGCATTGGCGCTTCACAACCCCCAAACTGGACAGACATTCCCGTACATTGGCAAACTTGACGCCAAAAGCGTGGAAAGTTTCATTTTCGATATTTCCGAGGGCAATGTCCAGCCTTGGGATGGTCAGTCGCCAGCGGCACAGCAGGATGGGGTCCAGAGTGTGCATGATGAATTGTAGGCATTAGCTGCCAGCTCGTAATATCTTCAGCCAAGATTAAAGCTGAAACCTTTGGTGCTTCGGAGCAAAAGGCCAAGCGTTATCTTTGCCCTCCGTCACCATAATGGATTTGAACCAAACCGCCTGTCAAAGTGGACCAAAACCGGTACGACATAATACCTCCGACGTCGATTCTCTGCAGTCACTGCCAGGCGATCCCTCTCAACGACGCCCAACTCGGCAGTCTAAGAACAGTAGCAGCAGATGGGTCACAGAATCTTGACTATGACAGCGAGTGTGAATCTTTCGACATTCACATTGACTGGCATTTCGAAATCAGTTGGCCATCACTCGAACAACTCCATGCTCGTCTGCACAGTTTCTATTGCCCAATTTGTCGTTGGATTAAAGACGCACTCGTTGAGATTCGTGCGGACAGAATGTTTGAGTTGCATGAAATCAAAGGATTTGTCAAGACATCGTTATCTTACGCATGGGGCTGGTCTCCCGGAGCTGCAAGACGCGACACGGGCTTCGGGCGTTAGTAATGAATGCCTGCTTTCATACCCACCGCAAAAGTAAAAAATGGTGTAGTTCTTATTGTTCGACATTGACCAACTATATCGATTTGATAAACAGTCTCTCCGTTGATTTTCGAATCACGTCCAGCAGAGTAATTCCCACCTATACATCATCGGGTAATTGTTGAACATGACACTGGATTGAAAAAGCGGGAAGACTAATGTTCTGGCCTTGCAGATAGTCTAGGCGCACAACCTGTTGCTTCATGACTCAGTCTTAGTGACCCAATCTCATACCTGGATCCTGAATGCGTTCAGTGGATGGAAGAGACGCTTTCCTTGTGCGAAAACCATACACAAGTATGTCATCCCATGTCACGAGAGCATTTTATTCCCGACAGACTCATAGATGTGTCTGATGATGGTCTCAAGACTGTCCCAAAAAGCGAAATATCACAGGGGCTCGAAACCTTTGACCGAAGATAGAGCTACTGTTGGGGAAAGAAAGAAGATACCCTAGCTCAAGCAGAACTGACCACAGCGAATACGGCTCAAAGGCTCCAGAGTTTTGATTTCTCAGAGCTCACCATCTCAATCCAAGAATTCGTAATGGTTACCAGAGCTCTTGGGCTGAGATATCTCTGGGTCGACGCCCTCTGTATCATACAGGGTGCTGGAAGTGACTGGGCCATCCAGTGCGTCATCATGGACAAGATTTATCGTAATGCACACGTAACTGTCTGCGCGTTAGGGTCGGCCAGCTGTGTGCAAGGATTTCTGCAGAAGCGAGCAAAGATGACTCTACCTTTTCACCCCAGCATCACAGGCTCGTTTGCAGTTGACCAGCCAGTCATCCGCGAGACCGGACACTGTCTGAACCCTTGGTCAATGGACTATGATGTCGCAGAGAGTAATTGGGGCGACATAGGATGGACCTTCTAGGAAAACGTGCGTTCAACACGATTGTTGCTATTTGGGAAGCGCAGTGTCCATTTGTCTTGCTCCGAATTTCACGTTTCCAAGCAATGCCGTCACTGGGCTGGGAGCGAATCATTCCAATTTCCATCAGCGAAGCATATGGAGTACGACCGCGTTGAACTTTATGATAGGTGGTCGTCTCGTCTTGTCACATCGTACACGGACCGGCATAAAGCCCTGACGATTGGAACGGACGTTTTACCAGCATTTGCGGGCACAGCTCGCCTGTTACAGGATCTAGTCTGTGACGAATATGTGGCAGGACTCTGGAAAGGGGACATCCACCGAGCACTGTTATGGATGCGCGTTGAGGCAGCAGAGTACCGAGTCTTGCTGAATGGACTATTGAGCTCCAAGACTTAAATAGGACCCTCATGGAGCTGGGTTAGACTTGCCCACATGTGCGACGGAGTTGCCTTCCCGATGTACCAAGTTGGAGAAGACGCTGTGTTTTCACACACCCGCTGTCAGTGAGAGTATGATCTGCATCATTGCGAGGCTACGCCGTCCGGGCCCACTAAATTTGGTGAAGCATCCAACGCCGTGTTGGAGATTATCGCCAAATCGCTTTCTCTTACATCCAGCATGTCGACGACAGAGGAACAGGTGGCGTGGTGCGACGAAAGAATTTTCCGGCTCCAATGCGGTGGAACAACCGCTGTCGATATACAGTTGGACTTTGAATATCTCTGAAATGATATCTTGATGGTTCCTCTGGGGGTGGAGGCTTCAAGACTTCGACTGATCCTCAAGGGGAGTACGATCGAAGAGCCCAAGGCAAATGAGTTCTGTGAAGACGCCGCTGAGAGCGACGAAAGGATAGAATGCCGCATTGATCACAATGAGCAGAGTGGAGTGCGTCATCCCGTCGAAGGAAAACATCCGTTAAGACCTCTAGCAAAGAAACATCGAACGGCAAATGGTTTGGTGGTCTACCCGACGTTCGTGAGTGGAGAGTTCTATCGGGCTGGTATATTCTTCCCTATACCGCAGTCAGGGGCAAGACTTGATGTTCTTGATCTGTCTCATACGGAGAGAATATCTATTATCTAGGGAAGTCTCAAGTGTAAATCCTTCCTTCTTACTCGTTCAGACCCGTACAGAAGTTAGGGATCATACGGTCCTGTAGCTCGGCGACCCGTGAGAAGTTCGGCTTCTCCAGACTCCTTGACGAGATAGATGTCTTCATGTCTTACACCAAACCTGTTCTCAAGGTAGATGCCTGGCTCATTGGTAAAGGTCATGCCCGGCTGAAGCAAAACTTGCTTGTTCCACTTATTCAAGTAAGGGGACTCGTGGGCTAAGGAACGTGAGCAATCATACATCGGTCTCGGGGGCGGGCACGAAAACTCACCTTTGATACCAATGCCATGTCCCAGGCGATGAGTAAAACCATGGCCGTAGCCTGCGTCCTCAATAACAGTGCGCGCGGCAATGTCAACACTAGCAGCCGTGTTGTTCGGCTTGAAAGCAGCAGCAGCAGCAGTCTGTGCTTCCAACACAATGTCCCAGACCTTGAACTTCTCCGCTCGGAGCTCAGGAGTCGATTTGGAGGTATGCATTGTTGATGACTTCCCGAGAAGTCCGAGGAGCATTCCAATCATACTGCGGCGTTCTATCTTGGGCGGGTCAACGAAGAAACTGCGACAGATATCCGAGCTGTAACCCAAATAGTGAGCGCCAACATCAATGACGACCATGCTCTCGGCCGTCAACTTCTTCCAGCCAGTGACGAAGCCGCCATGGGGTAAGGCTCCGTGCTCTTCAAACAAAACAATGTTGAAGAAGAGTTGGAAGTCGATGGACAAAAGAGCACCATTCAGGATTTCGGTTACCTCATCTTCGGTCAGACCAGGAACTAGACAAGGCCGCATTGCCCTAACCGCAACAACGGTTCCGGTGTTGACGGCGCGGAGCAACTCTACTTCTGCAGGAGTCTTCTGTTGTCGCACAAGTTCCACTTCCGGGTTCAGACCGACGGTCTCAAATCCGACAGAACCCAGACCACGGACGATGTAATCACGCATCTCCTCATCAACCATGACTTTGGCCTTGTGGCCATCGAAGAGACGCGACTGAAGTAGTGTATCGTATGGATTCCAATGCTCTTCCCAGATCACAATGTCAAGATCCTCGTCTCTAGAAGGAATTCCCAACATGCGAACTCGGCCTTCTTCGAAATGGGGGGACAAAAAGGCTGTTTTGGCAGTGACTTCACCAGATGATGAGGTCTGAGGCAAGACCAACATCAGAAACGGTCGTTCCTCAGGCTCCCATGGCTCCCAATCAACCTGGGAAATATTGCCATAGTATCTTGTCCAACGTCAGAACGGACAGAAAGGCTTTTTTCACAGGGCGGACTGGCTTACTGAAAAGTGTAGCCGGGTTCAAGTACGAAGGCGTCTACACCTGTAGCGGCTAAGGCTCTGGCGAGACGATCCCGTCTCTCAATGAACTCGTCGCTGGAAATGGGCACAGCAGAGTCGAGAAACGACAAGTCAGACTTCAAGTTGTCGATGGCGCACTGCTGAACCTTTTGGAAGACTGTTTGTTGGCTGACGTGGTACAAAGAAGATTTGTAGAAGGTCATAGCCAACAGAAAGAGCACAGTCGCAACAAGGGGAACCATTCGGGTGCGGCTCGCCTTCTGATGCGGCGTCGGAGCCGGAAAGGCTGGAGCGCCTCTAGGAGGCTTCTCTGGATTAGGCATCGGTCGTTTTGTATCTTCAACAGACAATGTAAGATTTGTCAAGTCAAACTGACGAATGGATTTGTGTATTTCTGATTTTTTCGCGAGTGAGAAAATGACAGGCAAATGCAGAGACAACGGAGGATAAACTGCCGAGAGGTCGGATGTCGGGGGCTGTCCGACTTCGCGCACCAACCCCTCTCCGGGGTGCAGCAGATGCGGATCACTTGCTGGCTTTGGAATGTTCCCCACACGAGTCATGCCAGCCACGCAGCACGTACCAACACTTGCAGCGACCAACTCGTATCATTCGCAAGGGTGTTGATAACGCATGCGTGTTTCCCTCGGGTTACATCGCCGAACCGGACCAGCAGATAGGAATGCAATCGCTGCCTGTTATTTGCCGAAGACCTGAGGGACCCGGTCCGGAGGGTTGGGTGAGATATCGAGCCGCGGTCATGAGTAAAATGGATGGGTGGCCCGCTGGAGTTTGGGGAGGATTGTCGTTACCCTCTTCTCTCCCGGTTTTACCCATCAATCTTATGTTTTGCCCGTGGAACTGCAGCGCACCGGCATTATGAGCGCCGAACCAACACACGACATCGACGCGCCCGCAAAGGTGCCGAAAAATTTTGCTGGCAGCGACAAGATTGCAACCGATGATGCAAAGGCGGCCGCGAACGTGGAGAAAGGAGAAATAGACATCATGATGGAGGAGCCTGAGAAGACCTATTACAGCACCGTTTCTGTCTGGCTTATGGTCTTATTTTCTGGCTTGGCGATTGGTTCTGACGGATAGTATGACTCTTTCAGACAAACTCTCGTCATATCTAGCCTTAATCCCTCTCGATGTCCGAAACTAACAGTTGTCTCTACAGCAATGCCGCCGTCATTGGCAATGTGGAGCTGCTGCTCGCTATTCTATATCCCGACGAATTAACTGACACAATCTACCAGCGTCTGTCAAATGCGTTCCTCATCGGAATGATTGTTGGCATGCTGCTTTTTGGCGTGGTAGTTGACCAACTTGGACGAAAGACCGGCGCCGTTGCAACCACAGTTCTGTTGGTGCTGGGCATCACGCTCTCCACGGCGGCCAGTGGAACAAACCCGACTGGAATGTTCTGGATGTTGATTGTTGCTCGCGGTATAGCCGGCGTTGGTGCTGGTGGAGAGTATCCTGTGTCAGGCGCTGGTGCAGCCGAAGCCACAGACGAAGACGCCAAGTATCGCAAGAGGAGAGGCTTCATGTTCGCCATGTTGGCGGATCTGTCAAGCAGTCTGGGATATATCTGGGGCGCTTTGGTGCCCCTGCTTCTCTTACTGTGTGTTGGTCAGCAAGTTTCCAAGTATGACATCGTCTGGCGAACATCTTTTGCTCTTGGAATGGCACCACCGCTTCTCATTTTCTGGTTTAGAATGCGCATGGCCGTTTCGACAGCATACCGCAAGTCAGCAATGCGTAAGCAGCGCACACCTTACTGGCTGGCTTTGAAAAGGTATTGGAGGCCTCTCATCGGGTCCGCTTCGACTTGGTTCCTATACAACTGGATCAGCATTCCTTTTGGTATTTTCAGCTCTACCATTATGTCTCGAGCCAACGCCGGCGACAGCCTCGTGAAAACACTTGGATGGGGTGTCGTGATCAATTGCTTTTACGTACCTGGTCCCTTTATCGGAGGATATCTCTCCGACAAGATTGGTCGACGTCAGACTATGGCCTTGGGGTTCACACTGCAGGCAATCCTTGGATTTGTTCTCGGTGGAGCGATGAACCCTATCCAGAAAGTCTTCCCATTGTTCGTCGTGCTGTACGGTATTTTCTTGACGCTGGGCGAAGTTGGACCCGGAAGGTAAGTGAGACGACGGCGAGCCGCCTAGATCCGTCGAAACAGCTCAGCTAACACGCCATCCAGTACGGTTGTTTTGACTGCTTCTGAGTGTTTTCCAACATCCATCAGAGGACAGATGATGGGTCTGATCTCGGCTTTCTCAAAAGCTGGAGCGGCTATTGGGACACAGGTAACTTCGTCTCTTCTCGCTAGATTGTGGTCTTTGCTCCTCAAACTGACTCGCCTAAGGTATTTACGGCCATTCTCAACTCCTACACGTCGGATCCCTCCAAAGGAAACCAAGTAGCTTTCTTGATTGGGTCAGGGTTTGCTGTTCTAGGTGCTATAATCGCGCTGTTTGTTATTCCGGACGTGTCTCGCCGGCTGAACGATGACGATGAGGCCTGGAAAAAATATCTGCAGGAGAACAACTGGGATGCACAGTGGGGTGACGAGGTTACTCGAGATCCATCGGGAGTAATAATGAACAAGGCCGCCTCCTGAGAATGAGTGTCTCAGTTCAATGAAGACTGGGATTGGGCTGATGTTTACTCAAAGGTCCGCTTGGCCGAGCTTGACAAGTTACTGAGCCTGGGAGGTAGTTTTCTACTGCTGCTGCTCAAACATGGTTTGGAAATCGTAGCACTCGACATTTATTGTGTGACCCGTGTCTGAGAAATTGTGAAATGGATCCTGATTCTGTCCTTGAAAGCTGAGATGGCCGACCGGGGCACTTGGACAACGTGACGAATGGCTGTGTGATTGCATCTTGTGAAGCGGCATGGCAAGGTATCATTCGGTCAAGATCCCCTTGCGATGATCCTTGTTGACCTACCTATTGAGGGTTAGCGAGCCAGAAATACGAGAGCCAAGAAAACAGACTCGGGTCACCAGTAATTTCTGTTGCTGTTGCGTGATCAAAGCCAGAGCATAAAACGGGTAATCTCCCGCCGGAGAAGTGAGTTCCTTTCAATTTCGGATCCCCAGCTGCGTCAAAATGAGGTTCAATCTCTCTATTCTTTTGAACGGCGTTCCATTTGCCCTTGCCCAAATCTTGGCAGCTCAAGACGTTGTGATTCCAGACAAATACATCATCAGTCTGAAGGCGAATATACCCGAGACTGCTGTTGAAAACCATCTCAGATGGGTGCAGGAAGTCCACAAGAAGCGGGATTTATCCCGTCGCGACCTCGTCGGAGTTGAAAAGACCTTTGATATCGGCTCCTTCCACGCTTATACGGGTTCTTTCGATGAAGAAACCTTGACGGAGATCCAAGCAAATGAAGTCGTACGTCGATTCACAAAAGACAATAGTGGGATTATGTTTGACTTCTGTGACAGGTCGAGCGTGTGGAGCCAGATACTTCCATCTATCCGTTTGATGTTGTGTCCCAGCAGCAGGCGACATGGGGTTTGGGCACCATTTCACACGTGGCCCCTATTGATGCGAATGCCAGCCTTAGGGATGGATTTGAATATCGCCACGACGAAAACGGAGGAGAAGGTACGTTCGCATACGTGATTGATACTGGTGTCTGGATCGACAACCCCGACTTTGAAGGGCGGGCCGAACTAGGATACACAGTATTCGCGGACATCCCTTTCGAAGATAGCACTGGCCATGGCACGCATGTTGCTGGCACTATTGCGTCCAAGACATGGGGAGTTGCGAAGAAAGCGCGTATCATTGCAGTCAAAGTAATTGCACCTGGCCGAGTGAGTAACTAAATAGGACAACGGAGACGCCGAGGCTAACATATACCTGCAGGGTGTCATGTCGGACTTTATGGATGGATTCTCTTGGGCTGTGAACAACATCACGTCGATCCCTGGTCGTGCTGCAGTGTCAGTGATCAATATGAGCCTGGGTGAGTTACGTGTTACTGAAACTTTGGTTTGGATAAGCTGACCCCAAAAAGGCGGCCCAATCAACTATGCATTTGATAGCCTGGTGCACGCAGCATCTGAACAGGGAATTGTGTCAGTCGTCTCCGCCGGCAACGCTGGTGTTGATGTGAACCGCATATCTCCAGCGGGAGTAGTCAGTGCTATCACGGTTGCAGCTAGCGCTGCAAACAATACTGTTCTAAGCTACAGCAACTTCGGGTCTAAAGTTGACTTGTATGCTCCAGGAGTTGACGTGTACTCGCTGTCATTAGTGGAAGGAAAGGACGTAGCATTGACTGGCACATCTATGGCCTCGCCCCACGTTTCTGGCCTGGTGCTGTACCTGAAGAGCCTGGAAGGAGGCCTAGAGTCTGTTGAGGCAGTGACTGCCAGAATCTTGGAGCTGGCCAAGCCGGACGTCATTGATGGAGTACCGGAGTACACGCCCAATCTGCTCGCATACAACGGAGTCGAAGCAAGGTTGTAGCAAAGAGGGCGAGAGTAATCCCTGAGAACTTAGTAAACCATCTTAGGCAAAGAAAATGGGTTCATCGTACGACTCGGCCCACGCTGTCATGCCGGCATCAAGAGGAAAGACAATTAAACGCTTCCGGACTGTAACATTCCTTTAACACCGAAGAAAATCTAACTCTAACCCCGAACTTTCTGGTCTAGAACTAGACAAGATTGGGTTCGAGGACTTTCGGGTGACTTGCCGTGTCATTTCCCCGCCTTGATAAGCCGTCACACGGGTGCATCTCCGGTCTAAAAGGGGCGTGGGGCGTGGGGTTCTACTGACTAGGTTCACTCCCACACTCCCAGCGAGGTCAACTACAGCTCTTTCGGTTCCATATAAAGTAGGGAACCCCCAAAGAAGATGGGTTTCTTGGTCATCGACATAGATTCTCAACAAATACATCAGCCATATCTCTAAACAATCTGCAATGACATTCAACTACGAGTTCAAAGCCAGTTTGAGTCTCGCATCAGCCGCAGCACTTGTACTATCCATTGGTGTCTTTGCCTGGATAACATCAACGGTAGGGCCATGCTCATATATCATCCTGTCTCCATGACTGACATGAATCACGAAGATTAGGAAATGGCGTCTCTCCAACGACCTCAAGTCTGGCATCAGAGAAGTGGAGAACCACGCTCATAACGTGACGACGAAGACCCCTCTGGAACGGCTTGAAAACTTCGACTGGAAAGCCACGTCACCGAGGAAATTCAGACCTTTCAAGCCGATTTATCACATCACCATGGGTTCGTGTACTTCATAAGAATACTGGTAAGACTGGTTCTGATAGCTCTGAGTGAAGCCCTGCAGTCCGATACGCCGTCCGATCTTGTCACAATCGATAAAGACTATCTTGAACGGATCAATCTTCGCAAAAGCCTCATCAAAAACCATGGCCAGACGGTCCATGGATATATTCCATCCGGCCAGGATGCCGTGCAAGAGCTCTACAGCTACCTGATGTCAGAATACCTACCCACTCGATATCCCACATTATTCAAACTGCCGGAGAACAGCAGCATCGTCAAGAATCAGGTAACACGAGATGAATACTCAGTCGAACCCCCAATTGATACACTCGCTGCCCTACGCGCAGTAGGCACGTCGGTTGAAGAGGACATTTTCATCCTGAAACCAACACCTGATGGACATCAGTGTGTGGCATTCATGTGCTGCTTCCCATCAGGGTGGAATCCTGCCTCGAAGCTTGGGAAACATATGAACGCCATCCACACCACCGTTCCAGCGTTTGGAAAAATAGGACCTAGCATGGAGCGTTTCTTCACAAAGCTGAAAGTTGGAGAGAGCGTTAAACGTGTCAATGTAAAGTCTATCTCGCGAACAAAGAAGGCTCAGAGTGTATAAGCTAACGCAACGGTAACCCAAGTGGACAATTCAGACTCATAAAAGTCTTTATAATACAAAGGGGAATCACATCCACAGCGAATACAAGGCGGATCCTGAAGAGCATATCGATGCGGAAAAGGTAGATACAGAGAGACTTGCGAGGCGGAAGATGAGATTAGCCAGCTAACAATTGCAAAGGCATTTGTGCGATGCGAATTACAGACTTTGAGCCGGCTCCCGAAGTCACACAGCATTCTCTTTTCTTTCAAGACGTACTTGTACCCCCTGAAAGAGATCAAGGCGGAGGGCATGGGGTCTGAACTTGCTGATGCAATTGAAGGTCTGAAAAAAGGAAACTGCCCCGGAATGTGGAAGTATAAAAGCGCTGTCAGATGGGGAAAGCCGGTTTGCGAGTACCTTCGCGGTGCTTGAGTTCATGATGGCATCGAAACGCACTAGCTATGGAACTATCATTGTGTACTCAAATAGTAAAATTGACAAGTTTCTACCGTAATTTCATCGTTGATGTTAGTGACCGCAAGTTTAATACGACGTTCGAGTCAAACACATTATGTGAGAGGTCTGAGACTCTGGGGAAACAGATGCTCATGCTCGTCTGAATCAGATGACTTCGGTCAAGGGACTGACACATCTTTCGTTCAGACTTCAATAGGAGTCGAATCGCAGAAGAGGCGAACATGGAGAGAGACACGCGGAGAGGTAGCTGGCAGGATTGGAAGAGCAAGGTGGCGTGTCTGTAGCAAGTGTCCATCGAACGTGGTACTACGTATGTATACCCCAGTCAATTCCAGATCTAGATTCCGGGGATACGCCATTTACGCGGATTGCGTTGATACGCTAGACACGCTTGTGGGCCCCCACCCAACAGATGGCCGCCAGAGGGATGGATGACGGACTGCTGAAGGGGAAAGTCAAAAGAGACCCAACTAATTGCACGGCAACGGACGTTAGCCAATGATTGAGGGGTAAAGACCGTTTAACGCGTGCCAACAGGCAAGTACAATTAATATCGACCTGCGACGCTGGCGATTTTGTTGATTGCGGGGGCATAAGGATTCTTACTGTCCCACTCTCTAAAACTTCTCCCTAGAATTATACCCAGATTACCACGCTGCGAAATGGGAGTGCTGCAATCCTATTAACCCCAATTATTCTCATGGTTTCTGTTGATGTCAGCGCCTATGTTGTCCCAGGCGTGTCGCCCGTATCGTGCGTAATCGCACTCAGCAGCAATGTGCACTTCAAGCCATGAAAGAACACAGAATCTTTACGCACTAAAAGCACAAATCACATGTTCCTTGGTAAAGTATCCTGATATATGTGCTGTCTTTGTAAGCCCCCAGCCACGAGCTCTGAAGTCAATAACGGTAGCGCTAAAGTGTCGTTCAATTTCCAACAAACACGCAATAGGACGGGTCAACTTCAACGAAGCACAATTGAGACTTTTTCGTCATCCCAAAGCACATGGTGATTCAGCGGTAAGATATTCACACTGCATAAAAATGTTAAGTCAGAGTTTAGTCGATCATACACATTGTTCTCAATCATGGAAGGTAAGTAGTCTCACAGCTAGGGAGGAGCATTATCTAGTCCAAATTAGGTATCCCTGAGATTGGACCTGCCGGAGTCCAACCTTTGCCAAGCCTTGCGTTCCAGTCCTGTAAGTTGATGTAAAGAATGCCGAAAACGCAAAACCGTGTAATTTGTAGCAGCTATCTCGTGGACGGCAACTCTGTCTTGATGAATGCGCTCGAATTACTGCATCGTCGCTTCTCCATGATACCACAATCATGTAACGACGGAGTCATCGTTGCTATTGGGATATCCTCTTCCTCCAGACTCAAGCACAGTGATGTGTCCTCAGGGGACAAAGGACCTCATCCCGCTTGCTGAAGGAACGTTCGCGTCGGAGGGAGGAGCTGATGCTTTTCTGGACCTGATTCAAGACAAGGTGACAGATCTGGTTTAACGAAGGCTTCGGGAGACGCGTGGCGCTACCATTGGAAAGAAGGCACTCTTTGGCCATTCTCCTGGAGGGCTCTTCGTTTTACATGCCCGTTTTACGACACCCAATAGTTTCGACTGCTTTTTGGCCAGCAGTCCAAGCTTTTGGTGGAAAAACCATTTCATCTTGAAGGAGGAGGTCGGGTTCCGTGAAACTGAACGCTATGTCGTTACTGTTGACCGTGGAAAGGCAGGAACAGGATCCCTGGAGAAAGCGAGGTGAAGACGATCGCCATTACAAAGAGAGCAGATCGTCACCGGCAGCGAAAGATGGTGGATAATGTTTACACTATGGAGAGACGCCTTCAGGTATATGGGAAGCGTAAGTACCTCGCCGCTTATATGTATAATGGAGAGGATCACGGTACGGTCATTTCATGTTCATTGAGTAGAGAATTGGCGACGTTCTTCAGGGACTGGCCCTTTGCAACACAATACTGAATGATGAATCACCGGATTCTCTGTAGACTCAGTCTTATCTCAAATTATGACGAAACAAATCTAAACACCGCGAGCTTTGTTAGCCTCTATAGTGACACTTTCAACGTAATCTCCCCTGTCGTTTTCGATTTTGTCCATGCCCTCCTCGGTTAAGCTCGACCTTTGCGTCTGAACTAAATCAACATTCTTGACAAGCCACATTATAATCAACATCAGAGCTAGCGCGCATGTAGTAGAAACAGCAAGCAGCTGCTATGTCTCTGTGTATGCAAGGTCGATTGCTTGTCGCTCAGTCGTACCGATAGTAAATTTCTGTGCAACAACGATATACGCAAAGATAGACCTTGCCTTGAACTTGAAAGTGGATGGGAGATATTTCTCAAGATTTTCAGAAGATTTGAATGCCAAATGGCATCGAAAATACTGAGGATAGGTCAGGCCACGGATACCCATCACGGTTGGAAAGTTATGTACCTTGTTCCAATACCACCACCAAGATTCATGCTCGCAAAAACCATTCCTACACCGACAGCGATGCCATCCCGGTCAACCACCGCCTGGATGCAAACCTGGACTGCAGTCTGATAGAGCCCTCTGCAAACTCCGACTAGCGTCTTTGCGGCGATGAAAGATGCCTCATTTGCGACGCCAGCTCCACGCATATTGACGAGGTAGATTTGAAGGCCCTGTCCCGGTACACAAAGCGGAACACCAGCCAAGACCCATGGTTTTGCCCTTTTGAAATAGTTCGTTAGAAGAGCATCAACCATAGATGAGATCTGGAAAGATACGCCCAAGGAGTTGCTGAAAAATAAAGGATAGTTAAACTGGACAGTTTGGAGAAAACCAATACGAACGTAAGGTACCAACTCAATTCTAGTCGCATGTCCAGTAGAGAAACCACCTGCAACTTTCAGGTAGCTGGGAATAAATACAGAAGACAAGGAGTAATGCATAAAATCTAGGACGCAGACCCCGCAAGCAGCTGCGACGGTCCTGTGTCTGACACGCCGGAAAGGAGTTCCAGACGAAGAAGAGCAGAAATAGCACAACTCCAACCACGACCATTCTAATGAAGCTTCCCATGCCCCACGAAGTGCTATTTTGCGATCCAGTCAGGGACATAGGAATCAAGATCAGTGATAAACCACCAATCAGAAGGAGACATCCGAGAATATCAAGCTCCACCCAAACGATTTTATAGCTATTGACCCAAACAGAGGCGCTGGACTGGATGTCTTGTAAGATTCTGGGACGCGCCCTACTTTCTAATCGACCTTTATCCTTGCGTTTGCGAACAAACAAAGTCAAAAGTAGCGGGAGTGCGACGACCGGTACCATAATGGCCCACATGCCGTAGCCCCATCGCCAGGTTGAGTGGTCTAGGAAACCCTGTGCAACGATTGTGCCCAAATACGGCGTTGGAATAGCGCTGATTGTTTCTGGGAGAGAAAGCCATATACCACGGTTTCGCAAAATAGTGAGACCGGAAATAAAAATCTGCTGAGTGATGCCGAATCCCACGCCGCCGACGGCGTCGAACAAGCCGCCTTCCTATGAAAGCAGAAATTAGGAAAGATCAGCGTGACCATAACTCGAGTGATACTCACAAAGCAAGTTTCTATGTTTTGACAGGGTGCCAGGAGAATGAGGGGCAGGACGGTGAGCATTATGGAAAATATGAAAAGTTCGAAGCGTCCGAATATCTACCGAAGCAAAGACTATCAGTATCTCCAGCAAAGGACGTAAGCGGATTAATTCCATACGTCGGATAGATTAGCAATGATGGACATGAGAGTAGACTGGCAATCGTTTCAATGGCATGGGGAGCACTCAGAAGGGAATTTCCCTTGAAAGCACTTGTAGCGTAGCCACTTTATGTGGACGTAGAATACTTGACGAACGAATCCACGAAGGTCAAAAGATAAAGCCTATGAGAACCAGATTCCTCAGCACTTTTGATGTTTCACTTGAGAGCTAGATGAACGTACCCCAAAAAGGCCACAAGAATCCATTTCTAGGGACCTCGTATGAGGAGATCTGACTGGTGAACACCAAGAGAGCCAGCTGGTTCACAGTTCTTCCCGTTTCAACTGCATTTACGTTGCGAACCCATTGTGAAGGATGATGATTATAGGTCGGATATGTGTTTGACGAATATGTGTTTGAAAGCCGGTAACACTCAGGAAAAGGGCCACAGCTTGAGTGGTTTAAATATGCTACCGTTCTCATCCCTCGCTGAGCTTGCCATTCTTACCCAACTTACTGAGCGTGAGTTGTTGGCGCCATACAATTTAGCTTCTTCTTGAATTCATTCTGCGTTCTGATCATATCAGATCCGATGCAAAGGATCAGACCACGGGGTTCATCATCGGATATGGGCTCGACAGTGTCGGCTAGGAACCGTCTAGGCGGAAAATAGCTAGTTCTCGGCCTCAACCCCTGACACCAAGACACTAGCGTGCTTATTGCCCAATAGTACCTTAAAGATACTTTAGACATAAAAATAAAAGATTCACGCAGTTTATATCACTGGAAGGCATCTATTACTTCACTACAAGGCAATGACTGCGTAATAGGCGAGCCATAATAGCCCATCATACCTATACATAATGAATTGTCTGAACCCCGAAAAGACTTACCGAGTAGCTTATTTCTAGATCTAGCAACTGTTTCAAGACGTTTCCATACCATAGTAACCAACTTTTGTAGTAAGGGCTATGTGACTGCTGGGAGAAGGGTTCGCTCGTCTTCAAGGGCTCGCACTGTCCATTTCTTTGAGTCGGCACTGTGTGAGCCGCTAATCCTGCATCTCAGGTGTAATTCTAGGAGCTGATTGAGTCTGCAAGTGAGAGTTCGTCCTATTGAGGGTACCAGTCGCTTTTTGGCTCATGAGTGTTTCCAAAAAAGCTCCACTGCCTCACTGGCGACACCAACAACCTCAAATTCTGCGACATAGATATCGAGAGAGACACCAATGGAACTGGCAATCCTAGGAATGGCTTCCCTAACAAGAGACTATCGACCCCACGCCCCAACCTTATCTGTCAACTCGGGTGGGATGCATGCACTGGAAAATGAATGTTTGAAGAAATTCGCAAAGTGCGGGCAAAACATTGGATGTTAGACAGGCCGATCCGGTTGAAATACACAGAACGTTTTCGAAATGTGCACTGACATTTGATACTGAATTTTGGTAACCTCCACGGTTCAAGATTGACTACTCGCGATTTGAGTAATGGCCCCCAAGAATTGAGAGCCAAACAGCAGGATGCAGGCCCTTTGGTTGCGGCACTAGTCAGTGCGCTGGAGGATGCCGCCCGATGCGACGAGACCCCGCAGTTCCAACAAGGTCTCGGAAATACAAGGTGCTTACTTCGCAGGCCCACGCACGTAAGCGAACGACTGTTCGCACTTGTGGACAAACACCAACGACCCTTCTCGACCTCATACGTTGGTGTGCTGCTTCAGCAAATGTGAAGTCACCAGTCCCAGCCGTTTCGGATCCGGCCTCTCTCATTCGCCTGACTGCGTTGAGTGCGGCCATGTTCAGCAAGAGGAGATGCTGCTATCAGGTTCACCTGGAGACGCCGCGGCCCAATCAGTGCACCGTTGCACAGGTTGTGGGCACGCCAGTATCCCGTCTTCCAACCCCCAGTCTTCACGGTCACGCTTTACTTAGCATGTCTTGGCCATATCCTCCACGTGAGTACGAAGGTGCCGGCGCAGGACCGAAAACAGACAATCAAAGTACTGAAATGTCTCTGCGCCTGCTTGATCAACGCGTGACGGCGTAAATAGGTAGATGGTTCGTACGACTGCGTCACGCACTCCGTTGGCCCAGTCTCTGGCATTCAGTCGGAAGCAACCTGGCCATCAACGCAGCGCGGCTCGACAAAAGACCCCGAGCACTTGGGAATGCGCTGCCATTCCATTTGGGCGTCCAATCTTATCGACTTTGGGCTGCCCCCGAGGGAGAGGCCGAGATAAAGTTCCAGCTACAACGCTCCCCACGTCCCGATCACTGAGACCCGGGATCTCTCGGCATCTCTTCCCACCGGCCACTCTTATCGCTATGGTATCACATTGCCTATCTCTTGCGTTGTATTACCAGGACGGAACTCCGGCTCAACCCTCGTCCCAAAATGAAGCGGGTGTGCAACTGCGCTCAATTCCCTCAAGTCCCGCCACTGGCGAGGAACTTTTGTATATGATGTGCACGGGCAAGGCAATTGAGGGGATTGCTAAAGGAGTAAGAAATGATGTAAAAGTCGGGAAAAATCTTTCCAGAAGACATCCGGACCGCTGGCGACTGAGCACGTCAGGTGTAGGATGCTGTTGCGACTCATCCAGATTAAGGATCCACCCCCACACTAATCGACAAGGAGACAAAAAGTTCCTCGTCCCCAACTCGTGATTGGCAGGTCACGAATCCGAGGCTCGCCAAGTCGCCCAGCACATTAAAAAGCTTCCAACTGGTGGTCTCGACACTTCCTTGGCGACGCTTCTGCACAACCTTCCCGGCTGGGCGTTTGCTTGTATGTGCCACAATGTAACTTACCCTGGAATTGCCGCCGAATATGATACGAGCATTGCGAGAACAGCTTCGCTTCGCCACCTGGGCGGGCAGAGGGAAATCAACCACCAACAAGAACAGCCTGCATCAGGAAACTCCTTATCACGTCAGTACGCGTAGATATTCACCTTCCTAATTGCGTGTAGCTTCGTGTGTCTATGAAGTGACATTCCAATTTACCGGGCCATTGGGTTTGCATGAGGATCCCTGTCGGAACTCTGACGCCCCTGTCCAACGCAACGTGTCGCCGATAATTCTGGGCGGACCTCCCAAGACATCCAATTGCACAACAACCCCCTTCCCATTGCACCATCTGTCGCCGCCCAGCTTCGCGAATTATCGCACCAGATGTCTGTACCTTGTCTTGACAAGGTTCCAGAACGAAGGTTCCGCATCATCTATGTACATGTAGTCTGTGAAACCACAGCAAGGGATTCGAAGCCTTTATAGACTCCACCATCGCCGATGCGACTGGTAAACCGTCTTGGTCTCACAACTCTCCTGAACATCGGACGGTCGCATTCGCTCCCCCAAATAGCGGGGTCTTCAATCTTTTCTCGAACCTCAGTCCCTCAGAGGATTCGGCGCAGCAGCCATGCCAGCGCCAGACCCGATTGGTGACACCATCGTCGCAGGTGCTCTCAACCCTGTTGAAGGGAAGATTGTCTCCGTGCCAAACCACGCGGCCATCAACGAGAAGGCCAGCTTTGATGATACTGCTGCTGGTAAAGAGTTGGAAGCGGAAATTCAAGCTGTGGCCCCCCAATCGGAGAGTGGTAGTCATGAGAAGGACAATGGCAGCGAAGAAGTTATCATCAGAACTGGAGCAGATGCTGCCCAGCACCTGCTGCCTCTCCGGGATGACTTTCAACCATCTTTGACATTTCGCAGTATCTTCCTGGCCACCTGCTTGTCGGCCTTTCAAGCTGTCATGAGTCAGATCTACACGGTACGTTTAGTCGTGCAACATCCTCTCAAGAATGTGGACGGAACGTATTGACAGGCCTCCTTCGTTCCAGTTCAAACCCACCCAGGTCACCATCTCGGGAACCTTCATCGTTCTCATTGCCTATTTCATGGGCAAAGCATGGGCCAACTTTCTCCCCCGAGGCGATAAACTCGAAGCTCGGTGGAGGGAGAAGGGTGGGGAGGGAACGCCTCCACGCTGGATTCGGACCGTCTCATTCTTGAACCATGGCCCTTGGAACTTGAAGGAACATGCCATTTGCGCCATTACTGCAACATCTGCGTCCAACGCTGCTGCTAGTATCACCGTGTTTGCTGCCCAGGACCTCTTCTACGACCTTCCGCTCAGCCCTGCGACCGTTGTGTTGAGCGTCATTTCCATTGGACTCTTTGGCTACGGAATCTGCGGCATCATGCGACCTATTGCTGTATGGCATGTTGATGCGGTGTACTGGAGCACTTTGCCTACGGTAAAGACCCTTCAAGGACTCCATTGGCAAGAGTTGAAGAACTCAAAGCCGTTGAGGTGGTTCTGGTACAGCTTTGCAGGCATGTTTGCATACGAGTTCTTGCCTGCGTACATCTGGCCCTGGCTCAACTCGGTCTCAATTCCCTGCCTTGCCGCGATGCATGCAACTGGTGCCAAAGCTGCTACTTTGACAAACCTCTTTGGCGGTTCTATCAACAACGAAGGACTAGGACTCTTCAGTCTATCCTTCGACTGGCAATACGTAAGAGAAGACTTTCCCAGTGCTGTAATATATTCACATCTCTAACCTAATTCAGATCACCTCTTTCAATACTTCACTTCCTCTGGCGCTGCAGGCGCATGCGGCTCTCGGATACTTCGTGTGCTTTATTGTGATGCTGGGTATCTACTACTCCAACGCCTGGGACGCGAAATCCCAGCCATTCATGTCCACTCGTCTCAGGTCTGAAGATGGATCGACATACCCAATCGCGAAAGTCTTCACTGGTGGAGTGCTCAACAAGGAGGCGTTGGCGACTTACGGCATTCCAAGGCTCACGGGTAGCTTTGCGTACGCAATGTTCATGGCAAATGCTGCTGTAAGTCATGACCTTGACGGGGCAAAGTTCGAGCCATCTAGAAGGATGCTAATAACTGGTAGATTGGCGCTCTCATTGCTCATTGCTTTCTGTTCTGGGGCGGAGATGTCGTGAATGCTTATAAAAGCGCCCGAAGCGGACGGTACGACGACAGGCATCACGCGCACATGGCAAAGCACTACAAAGAGACCCCATGGTGGTGGTATGTGGTGGTGCTTGTTCTTAGTTTCATCCTCGGTATAGTTGTGGTGACAACTCAAAATATCACCCTTCCGGCATGGGCATACATTGTGGCGTTGCTGCTGGGCATCTTTATTGCTCCTTTGGTATGTTGCCCCTACAATGAGGCAGTCATGTTGCTGACAAGTGCTTAGAGTACTATCCTCTACTCTCGGTATGGTAATGGCATTGCGACCAACAATCTCTCAAAGATGCTTGCTGGACTCTTACTACCTGAACGTCCCATCGGAAACATGTACTTCGCGGCTTGGTCGCACAACGTGATTTCTAATGCCGTCACTCTGTCGAATGACTTGAAGATGGGCGAATATCGTGAGTCACAACAACACCTATATCTGGGCAGTGTCACTAATGTGTATCCACAGTCAAAATTCCTCCCCGCGTTATGTTCTTGACCCAGGTGTATGGAACTATACTGGGCGGATTTATCAACTACGCTGTCATGATTTCAATTGTGAACGGCAACCGGGAGTTGCTTGTCGACAGCGACGGTAACAACGCTTGGAGCGGTGCAACTATGCAGTCATACAACACCAACGCAACCTCCTGGGCGCTAGCGCATTACCTGTACAAGATAGGTGGCAAGTACGAAATGGTGCCCATCGGCTTGGGAATTGGTTTTGGCATCGTTGCCGTTCACAGGCTCGTTGTTTACGTGAGTAGTACTAGAAGGCACCGATATATCGGTACCCATGTCACAAACAGGACTGACGAGCTAACCTACGCACCAGTTCGTCCCCAAAATCCGTGGGTTCTCGCTGTCTGAGATCAACTTTCCCCAGTTCATCCAGTACGCCGGATTCATTCCGTATAATCAGTCGCAGACTTGCGTTATCTTCAGTCAACTCATCGCTGGCTTTTTCACCCAGTTCTATCTCAGGAACTACCGCCCGCGAATTTTCAGGGACTACTCGTATCTCGTGACTGGCGCAATGGACGGCGCTAGCCTTACTGTTCTGTTCATTCTATCCTTCGCTGTGTTTGGGGCAGGAGGCTCTTCAAGGCCTTTCCCAACGTGGTGGGGCAACAACGCGGATGGTTATTACGACCTTTGCCCGTCATCGGAATAAGTATGTATGTCTTGAACACGCATCAGTACCTACTAGGAAAAGATGGTATGAAGCTACGGAGACTCTTGTCTCATACATCCCCCATCTCTGCCTAGTAGGCTCCTGCGGTGTGGCTAAGAAATAACGTGTCAGTTTGGCTTGTAAATAAGTGACGGTGGACACAAATCACCTTCCGCCGTGAGGCTTTCTATGGTAAGGTAGCTTTTGCTATCTATCACTGGAAGAATCGCTAGACAATACAACTCCGTGTAACCCTTATAACGACGCTCATGAGCAAATTTAAGTGCACACATGACCCTTCATGATCCAACTTTGAAAATCGAAAGAACCTGGCTTGTCTAATGCGTGGATCAGTGGATTTGCTGGTCAATTTCCAACACGTCTATGTGCAACGTGTCAGCCCTGTAATTACGTATCAAACTACATATTGAAGCATTCGGAGGCATTGTGTAGGTCATATTCCAGAACTCAAAACCACTGTGCTTGGTCAGAAGATGAATTCAAAATGGGAGACCCTTGTTTCCTTACTGGATGATGGAGCACGTACCGCCTACGAGCCCACGGAAACTGATGTCAGGATCTGGTAAAACTGATCCAGTGGCGGTGATATTAATACCGTCCAAGTCCCCAAATCCTTGAACATCACGCTTGCCGCCATTGGGGTTGAAGCTGACAATGAAAGTAAGATCTCCCGCCTTGTTCTCAAATGTCTTCAGCCGAACCTGAGACAGACGCTAGGGGTATTAGAAGTCCTTAAAGCCTTTGCTCTGAGATGGCGACTTTGAGTGCCTTGGGGCTTCGAAGACACTATGAACACCGCGATAATATACAACACAAGCTGGTGAGGGAAAGGATCAGTGAGTTCAGTTTGTTCAAAACCATATAGGAGCTATTTGATCAATTTTGAGAAGAATGATTTGCGTATGATCCGTCCATGTGTTGATGCTTTTTCTCAATCTACAGTCTATAATCTCAATAGTCGTTGTTTGCCCAGCACAACCCCATCACGCAATACACCCTCTGTCTTTCACTACCGGAGAGAGGCGGCAACAGGATCGCACGATAAATTAAGCGTTCCAAGAACTCTTCACAGCTCTATCAGAATTACGCGTCAATAATCTGCGCTTTGATTCGTTCTCTATCCTTGGGCGGGAGTTGAGCAAGCAAAAGCTTAAGCTTCTCACATGCCGCATGGATTTGCGGAGCCATAGCCTGCATCAGGTCCTGCCTTTTTGCCGAGTCGCCGTCGGTACTGGGAGAGGCCAGCATGGCACCGACCCAGTCCAGACGAGCCTGGGAAAGCCACTTTGTGGTTTTGGGCTGCGCGTGCCACCGCATGGTGTTCTCAAGATTTAGGCATGTCATGAGCAACCAATCGAAGTCCTGGTCTGGATGCGGGATCGGACGGCAGAGCTCGTTTCTGATCTCATCGTCATTGTAAGCCGCCTCGACGTGGGCGATGAAGGCTGCGCTGAAGACTTGCTGGCAGGCACGGACAGCTTGCAACGTGATTAGGTTTCCGTTGAAAACTGGGATTGCCTCGCGCTTCTGCAATCCGTCCGCTGTGCAGTCTACAAAGAGAGTTTTGGGCTGCGGCTGATAACTGCTCCCGTTGTCGAACTTGACCTCATCAAGCCCGATGCTGACGACCCGGCCCTGGCGGACAATGTTCGTGATCTTCTTGAGCTGCTCGAACTCGGCCACGGACACGCTGGCACAACGAAACATGGTCGGCCAGACGTCGTCGCTGATGCGCAAAAGATGCTGCGCTCTTTCCAGCCGCTTCAATAAATCATCCACAGAGGTAGCTGCCATGATGGCCTCGATCTGCGTGGGAATGACACTGAGGCTTCTCTCAGCAAACTCCGGGCCTGGTTGACTCTCGCTGCGGTCAAAGAGCCACGAGTCTCTGGGCATGATCCACGTCAATTTTGAGGCATCGATGCCTCGTGAAAGTAGCCACAGGCAGGCGTCGATGCCTGTCTTGCCAGCACCGACGATGGTGAAGTTGGCGAAGGGCTCCGATACTTTTGACAGCAAGTTTGGCGTCAGGAAAGGGACGCCAGGGGCGACTTGGTACGCCGGAGGGCCCATGGACGGCACCTTAACGCGCATGTATGTGGAGTCGACGATGCGGGTGGAACAGCCAGCCATCTGGAACCTCTTGCCTGAGAGCATGGAGACGAACTTCCCGTCGCCTTTGTAGTTACAATTGGGGAAGTACTGGACTCGTCCAGATGGCAAGAAGTATTGGTTCAGGACCTGATCGTAGTATGACAGGACCTCATCGCTGGTGGCCAATTCATGCAGGCCTTTGTTCCAGCCGACTTTGTCAATCATGCCATTGCCCAGCTTTTTGGAGTTGACGCCATAGAAGGCAGAGGGCTGATGAAGCCGCACAAAAGAGTAGGCCGTGGTCCAGTGTCCTCCGGGTCGGCTGTAGCGATCGACGAGGGCCACAGAAGCGTTGGTGTCCGAGAGCAAGGTATCGACGAATGCCATTCCCATTGCGCCTGTGCCAACAACGAGGTAGTCCGCTTTGATAGATGCCGCCATGATGTTGGGTTGGGATTATTGATACAGAAGTAAAGTCACCTTACCGAAGGAGTTATGCTGAGCGTGCTGAGCGTATTGCAGTGTGCTGTATTGAAGACCAGGCTTCCTTGAGTATCCTCTATGAGTCTGATTAATATACAACCAGAAACCCACGCGGAGGTATGCGGAGGTGTGGGTGATTCAGGTATCTATCGCTTTCAGGAACTCCGGCTCGTCCGCTTCGGTCCGTTTGGAAGCTCCACGTGGTCTAGAATCAGCTGATAAGATCGCTTGTTTACAGTAAGGGGCGGGCATTTCCCACATAATTGCTCAGGGGCAGGAAATTTTCTAGCGTTTAAAGACAGTATGGATAACTACTAAGTCAAGTTCGGCCTTTACCCACATGTGCGAGACGGTAGTCGGCTGGGCCCGGGCCTGAGGCCTGAACCCCGGCCTGAATCCCGCCTTTACGTAAGGAATCGGCCACACCACTTTGTAGCCAGGCGCGCCTAACATGCATGCGCTGCTATGTTAGACTCCACTTGTATAGTAATATATGCTGCCTCAGCCTGTTATAGCGCTATACTCTATTGCGTTAACAGCATCTGCCCCTAACTTTAACTTAGAAGGAAAATTTTCTGCTAGCCTAAAAACCCTTTAAATTACCCTAACGTATTAGAAGTGATGAACAATATAATTATTTATTAAAACTACTACCTAAAAAAGAGTAGGTCTATAAAAGTAGGGGGTAAGATTTATTAAAATCTAACTAAGTATTATTTATTAAACTTCCTATACTTAAAATATCTATATTATAGATATACTTAGAGCTAATAGTTAGATATCCTTTTTACTTAAGTTTCTAGTTTATAGAATACTTAGTTAAATTAATAAATATTTAATTAAGTTTTAAATAATTTTAAACTACTAATAGTAACTTACTTAGTTTAGACTAATTAATAATAATATTATTAACTATTAATTTATATAAGTATTTTAGGGAGATATTATAATCTAGATAATATTAGTATTAGTTTATTTTAACTTAATTAAATTATTAAATTAATAAACTTTATCTTAATAGTAACTTATAATAACTTAATAGTTAGTATACTTTATTAAGAGGGATAAATANTAAAATATTTCTAACGTTCTTCTATTAGAAAATATAAATAACTTTTAACTTTATTTATAATTATACTCTAAGATTAGATAAAGCTATAGATCTATTTATAATTCTTATTAACTTCTCACTTATAGTATATAAAAAATACTAATATATAGTTATTATAAATAAAGTTACTTTATATCTAAGAATATACTATTTACTTTTAAAACTAATAGAAAGGAATAATATATATACTTATATAATAGGAATTTATAGAATTATTTAAACTTAGAACTAACTTAGTAATATCTAATATCTAGCCCTTATAATAAAGCTAATTCTATATATTATACTACTAGTTAATAATAGAATTTAATATAATATATATAGTTTTATNTATTAGTAGATTTAAATAATTTAAACTTATTACTATAAGGAATATAGATAAGTTAATATTTAGAAAAAAAGTAATAATATAAAAAAGTAAGTAAATAATATTAAGAGTATACTATAGATAGTTAGTATATAGTATTAGAGGTTTTATATATCTTAGTATAATAAAAGATAGTTTAAGGTTATTTAGGGATAGATAGCTAATAAGTTTCTATAAAGTATTCTAAATAGAAGTTTAGGTTAGTTAATATTAAACTATATTTAAGATCTTAAGAAAGTTAAAATAAAATATATAAAAATAAGCTAAACTAAGTTAATCTATATTATTAATAAAAGACTAAAATTTAGTTTATAGTTAGTTTATATAAGATAGGTAGTATACTTAAAAAGGCTTAGTATTAATATACTTTTTAATATAATAGCTTTTATTAATAAAGATAAGGTTATACTTTAAGTAATATAGGTAATAGTTAACTATATATTAAATTAAGCTTAAGTAATATTTATATTTAATATTATTAAGCTAGTTATATTATTTAAAGTATAATATATAGAAGCTATTATATTAANATATAGAAGTATATATTAAACTAAAGAGGCTATTTAATAACTATATAGAGGATAATATATAAATAAGAAATAAAGGTATATAGCTATATCTATTATATATTTAGTTCTATATATAGGAAATAGATAATAATAAGTAGCTATTATATAAACTAATACTATTATAAGGAGAGGTATAAGATTTATTTAAGTAGATAGTAGAAGTAGTTAGTATAAAGATAAGGTATTAAATATAGGAGAAGCTAAAATATATAGTACTTAATATACTTATTAGTATACTAAACTATTAGCTAAAAGGTAGAGACTATAATAGTACTCTTTTTAGTACTCTTATAGTAATAAGTATTATTAAGAATAGTAGCTAGGTTTAAATTATAAACTATATAATAAAGTATTTAGCTATAATTAAAGTAGTATATATACTAGTGATCTATTAGGTATATACTAAGTGTTATAATAAGGTTATTAAGCTAGAAATATCTTTAGGAAAGAATAAAACTAAAGATATAGTTGTTATAGTTAGCTATCTGATAATAGGGTCTGCTAATAGAAGCTAGGGATTAATATATTATAATAGTATACTGAGGTTATAGTCTAAGTTATAGGTTATAAGCTATAGTAGATTAGGTTTTTAGAAGCTAAAGTGATCAGTTTTAAACTTAATAAGTAATTTACAGTAAAAGTAAGCTAAAAGTATCTATAAGGATAAATATTAAATTAATTACTAAAGAGCTATAGGGGGTATATCCTTTAAGTAAGGCTTAGGCTATACTATATATAAGTCTTAAATAGTATCCTTTATCTACTTTTAGGTAATTACTTAGGTATATAAGTAATTATAATTAGTTAGTAATACTAATTAATTACTAGGTATTTCTTTCTATACTCTACTAATTATTTCCTTATCTTATTATTATATAACTTATATTATAGTTCTTTTATTTTAAGTAAGTCCCTATTATCCCTATTAATTATTATAGTTAGCTATCTAATAGTAGGGTCTACTAATAGAAGCTAGGGATTAATATGTTATAATAGTATACTAGGTTATAGTTTAGGTTATAAGTTATAAGCTATAGTAGATTAGATCTTTTTAGAGGCTAAGGTAATTAGTCTTAAACTTAATAAGTGATTTATAGTAAAGGTAAGCTAAGAGTATCTATGAGGATAAGTATTAAGTTAATTACTGAAGAGCTATAGAAGTCTAACCTTAAGTAAGGCTTAGGTTATACTATATATAAGTCCTAAATAGTACTTTTTATCTACTTTTAAGTAATTACTTAGGTATATAGGTAATTATAATTAGTTAGTAATACTAACTAATTACTAAGTATTTCTCTTTATACTCTACTAATTATTTCCTTATTTTATTATTATATAACTTATATTATAGTTCTTTTATTCTAAGTAAGTCCCTATTATTCCTGTTAATCTTATAGTATAAATATCTTATCCTAGCTACTTAATACTTAAGTAGGTTAATTAACTATTATCTATATATAATAGGTTATAATATTAGGTCCTCTCTCTAAAAGGTCTTATTCTTAAGACTTAATATAAATAGGTTATTAGTTTTAAATTAGGGATCTATTAATTATACTTCTTATTTTACCTATAATATTAATATTATATTAAGTTATATTTAGAAATTAAAATTAAGTACTATCTCTATTCTTTATTATTATAACTATACTTTATATATTACTAAGTTTAGTTTAGTTATTAATATACCTTATTTTTATTATTATTCTTTAGGGAAGTATTATAAACTTCTTTTTAGTAGTAAAGTTTATAGTAAGTATACCTATTTAGAGTAGTTTTATAATATAATAGTAAATACTATTTATATTTATAAGTCTCTATTTTTATTATATTTTCTATTTAGTACTAACTTATCTTAGTTAATTACTTACTAAATAAAGCTATTTATTTAGAAAATATTAAAATAGTTAAAGAGGAGGTATTAAGAAAGAAAGTAACTACTTTATATACTATATAGGTTAAATTAAATAAGTTTATAGTATAGTTAGATTACTTATATAAGTAGAAAAGGATAGTATTTTAAAAAGGTTAAAAAGTTATAGAAGAGGAGCTAGTAATATCTCCTATATTAGAGGTTTAGTCTATAAATAGTTTTAGTATTCTAAACTTAGATTTAATTCTTAACTAGAATCTTAATACTCTAAATTTCTTATTAGGGGAGTTTTAGTTATATTTTAGTATTCTTAGTTAAATAGATATATTTTCTTATTATATTAGTTTAGAGTATCCTCTTAGTTATACCTATACTAATAGGAGTTATATCCTTTATTTCTTAGTTTTTCTTTATTTTTATTATATTTCTTCCTATATTTATTTCTCTTTTTTATTAGTATATTTTTTATATTCCTTAAATTCTTTTAAAGTTATAAATAGGCTTAATTTATCCTTAAGATTAATATAATTAAGTATTCTAATATATTTATTAATTTTATCTTAATACTTAAGTAGGTTATTATTTAATTCCTATATATTATCTTTATATCTATAGTTTTTCTATTTAATAAAGTATTCCTATTTATTATCTCTATATTAATAGTTAAATAGTTTTTCTACTTTATACTCTAATTTATTATCTTCTATAATAATAAGGTTATTTATTTATAATCTTTATAGTACTAATTTAAGAAATAAAATATAAAATATTAAGTAATACTTTATAGTTTCTAGGAGTTTAAACTTATAGTTAACTAATAAGATAATTTATAAAATTTTAAAAAGTTTAAGTTTTTTATAATTAAGTTTATTACTTAGTTATTTTATTTTAATATTTTGCTATATAAAGTAGGTATTATCTCCCTCTTTTAAAATTAATCCCTTAATCCTTTATTTATTACTAAATCTTAATATTTATTATTAGATAAATTTAAGTTTTTTATAAGTATTATCTTAAATATCTTTAATTTATTATACT